AGTTTGAGAGTTTATAAGAGAGGAGAAGAAAAGAGAATGGCCAATGAGTGAAGGGTGTTGTGGCTGTGGCCAAACCAAGAAACAGGGGAAATTTGGTTAAAGTTCCATTTGTGGTTTTATATAGCTATGAAAAGAGTTTGAAAAAATCAATTTTTGAAGTCTAAGTATAAACGCGTTTTTGGGGGGACTTTGATGAAATGAAGGGGAAAGTCCATATGAAAGTGGCCTTTGTGGAAGTTTTTTATTATTACTTTTATTATTGCACACAGTTCCTTAAAATTGTTGGCTGCTTGGAGGAAGAATATGTCAATGGATGTTAGGTTGGATCATGCGACCACGTGAGTTTACAAAGAATAATCTCCGCGTCAGTAATGTTTCTAAGATCTTTCCTGCCTAAATTTGAATAATATAACTGAGAAATTTTAATATTTCTTAGATGTGTATATAAAGGTCCAACATCTTTAAGCATTATAGAAAATAAAAATTATAAAAAAGCTAAAAAGGAAATATGAACCCAATTCTACTTTGTCAATCTTCAATTAAAATCATCGTTCCGCTTTTGAAACATTATAATAGGGATTTCGAATCCAAACATACAATTGTGTTAGTTAATTTGTGTTTTGTAAGCATATAAGCTAACTTATATCTTATTTGATTAACTTATAACTTGCATATATTCAAATAAGTTTAGTTTGACAGGACGAATTTTTTTAAGAAACTCGAACTTATCTCATAAACTTCATTTATAAACTTCCTTAGATAGCTTTTCAAATAAACACGTTTTATTTCAACTACTTATCATTTAATTTTACCACACTTTTACCATATAACAGGATAGTAACAAAATATTAACATTGTATATTACTGTTCGAAGTCGAACAAAATCAATCACATTTATTAGTTGTACAATATATGCCCAAAACAATGCTGTTTTAGCAATTTACTTGCACAAACCTGTAGGTATTCAAAAATCGAAACAATATAAATCAAGAAGTCTGGAGAATTCGAACCTGCCAATGTCTGATCTCAACCGTCAAATCACACACACCCATGTGAATATGTGTTGATCCAACGGCTTGGTAGTTGGGTACCCAGTTTAGGCGGTAGGGTTAAATCCACCCAGGAAGTCCAACTTTGTTTAAAGAAAAGTCAATGATAAAGAATGGCTGGCACGTATATTTTAGAAAGTGGCACAAACCAAATCTGACAAAGAGAAGTTAGGCATGAAAAAATATTCTCCAAGATTGCCCCTAAAAAATGAGAATATTCAGTATCCAAATCGTGAGCTTGTCCACGAAGAAAGAAACTTATAAAATAATAACAATAATGATAGCAAACATGAAACAACTAAGTGAAAAAACTATATACATATATTCTAGAAAACATGTATAAAGAACGTTAGTACTATACCAATTCCCCCAATATCACATTTCTATATCTTACATCATGTTACTGTACATCATTAACAGGTATTCTATGACGAGAAAAACACGCGCAAGAACTACTTTTTGCCTATACTTCAATCAAGATACACAAAGAGACTACAAGTAACGTTAAGGGCAAACCTTACTATGTACAAAACCACTCGATTCAGCCAGATCTTGAAGACATATTATCATCATACCAAACAAGTAGTTGGTCCATTTGGTGTCATTTGATTCATCAACGAGTAAATAAATAAATTGCAGGAGCATTTCTTTNGAAGAAGAATTTAAGGAGGTACTTGTGATTTTGAAAGATAGTTGGGTATGCTTTTGTATAGACCAAATCTGAAGGTTTCTTTGGTTTTTTGCTGCATGGCCCAGACGTGACAAAAGGAAATACGTTTGTACCTGAGATAGCATCACAAAGGGGTTCCGTTTGAATTTGCAGTAGAAGCTTCCAGAAACTTGTGAAACCGTTGGATTCGTGTTTGGTTATCGGGCAAAGATCTAACCTTTCTCCTTCCCGAACGAACAAATGAATCTTCCGTGTCGAGAACATACGAGATCTGTGAGCACATTGGTTGTAACAAGTTGAATTTCCAGTACAAACAAAAAGGAGGTAATGAAATTTTGGTTTAGACTTCTGGGGATTCGAGAACCAAACCAAAAATTGCATTATACGACAGAATAAAATGTATATAAATTAGCCGTGAACATAAAACAGGAAAATGACATCAATTTATGAGATTAATAAAATTTTCTAAGCTTGGACAGATTTTGTACGCTGTACGCCAAATTCTCAGTAAATCATGAGTATATGGGTTGATAACATATGGCTGTGACACAAGGAGAGGGTTAAAACTTAAAAGCTACACAAAAATGGCATCAACTAGTATAACAAACAAAAAAATAAAAAATAAAAATACCTTTGATGTGCTTGCTGTCATTTTACATTCCAACCCGTTCGTGATCAGAACATTTTCCATTGCCCTATACAGAGCGGTGGATTCCTCTATGTTACTGTACTTGCGAATATTCCTGCATGTAGGACAAGTAGAACATTAGGACAGTGCAATATTTCTTCAATTGTGTCAACCGTAATTATCACTTCTTTGAGTAACAAGCTTAAGAAAGATATAAAAAAATGAATTGGTAAAATTTTATTGAGTAACAAGCTTATGATGACTAGTTCTTGTCGAAACAACGGGAAATAGTAGGAGATAGTTATGCTTATATACATTCAGAAAGCACTTAATTATCTTAAAATTGCTCGTCATTCTTTCACTGGTTTAAAGAAAACAGTCGGACAGCTTAGACCTTAACCAACATAAATATTTTATATTGTACAGAATATCAATCAGCTGAACCATAACTACATTGGATTATAAATGTAAAATTATGCGGATAAGATGGGTACATTCTCAGAACCCTAAGGGGGCGATTGGATATAAATCAAACCGGTTTTGATTGCATTTGGCTGTTAAAGTGAGTTATTTTTAATAAAGTTGATTGAATGGATGATTGAGTGGAATTTTTGAGTTTTTTATTAAATAATATTTAAAATGTAATAATTAAAGTTGATGTGATATAAAAGTAGAAGAGATGTTATTGGAAATGATAGGTAGTTAAAAATATGTGAGTGAATTAAAATTGATGTGATGTGTAAGGATGATTGATTGGTATTATTTAATTATATTGATAATACTAAGGAGAGTTAAGTTGAATATTGAGTTAAGAGATATAAAACAATTTAATAGGTCGGTCAAAACTGATTAAAACCGGTTTTGATTTATATCCATTCGCGCCCTAAGTGCTCAACAAGTCTGATGTTCCATATTATTAGTCTAGTAAGATAATGTCAAATCAGAGGATTTTAGCATGGTGATTAATGCAACTCATGCATTTCAAGCTATGTGATGGAACATATAACAATACCTTTTCAGCATAACTGATGATGACTCCTTTCCATTGTTAACTGAAAGATACTCTTTGTGAAGATACGTTGCAAACTTGGGATCTACTGAAACTGCAACACCTTCAGACTTCTCATCTCCACCATCCATCAATTGGATAAATAAGCGAGTAGGGTTACATATCTACACCAAGCACAATTCTTGAAGTGGATATCAACATAAATTAACATGAAAACAGAGATAAACTCATTCAAATGGGACCTACACATTCAAAACGGTATATATTCTCGTCATGCAGAAGGACATGAACATTCTCGTAATAAACTGAGTCAACAAAATTCTCCAGCTTCCTAGATTTCTCGTATTCAAACAACTGAAGCAGCTTACAATCCACCTCATCACTTGAAACAGTTTGAAGCTGCAAAGGAAAACACGACACTCAGAAAAATGTGTCGAAAATGAAACAAGAAAAAAACAGAAAACCTTCTTTGCAAGATTACCTGTCTGACCAACTTATAGATCAACTTATCCAAAGTGAATAGCACATAGGACTGGTTTCCTATCAAAGACCGGCAATCGTCTTCAAATTTTGTATTGTCGATTGATCCATCAAGTAAACTGAATAGTGCACCCGTGAATCTGCAGAGAACATTACCATGCAAAATCAATCCAGAGCCGGTGCAGATTTCAAACTGTTTGCGGAACTAAATTAAGCCTTCTAAAATTCACCTAGCATATGGATCAGGAGTTGAATCTTGCGTGTTTCTCCATTTTGAATCGCCACATACTGAATTGACTTTAGCAAATAGTATTCTCTCAAACAGTGTCTGGAATGACGGAAAATAAACCATTTATCATAGAGGGAAAATTGGATTTAGAATCGAATGTCTCTCTCATATTATGAAGTTAATATGCTTGGATATAAATTTTTCCAAAAAAAAATACAATTACTTTTAACCAATACCTTTTTTTAACTCTAATCTAACTCAACTTTAACTCAACCCCACTATCCTCAATATTATCAATATAATTAAATAATATCACTCAATCATTCTTACACATTTCATCGACTTCAATTCCCTATTCATCCACTAACATAATTTTACCTAACCATCATTTCATATCATTTCTCTCTTACTTTTACATCAATCAACTTTAATTGTTTTATTTTAAATATTATTTTAATATAAATTCAAAATCCCACTAACAACTAACTATACCACTTTCTTCAAAATTAACTATACCAAACCAAAAAATCCAAACAAAATAAAAATCACTATATCGAAGCATCCCCAGCACAGCATTACACAACCGACAAGTAAAAGTTAGAGGCACTAGAATAAACACCATGAATTTACCTGATGCAGCCTAAAAAGCACATAAAATGTGTCGTTTCCATAAAAGACACGTCGATCCTGTTTTTCATCATTTATTAATGAGGAAGCCACATGCTTTGACAGAGGTTTACATTTCAGTAGAAATCGTTCAGAGTGTGGCACAGCCTCACATTCACTTTCAGCTTTGCCATCTTCCACTTCATCAGGATCTTCCCGTGAACACTCATCACCAGCAGACTCACTGCCTGAAACATCTCCTCCAGCATTTGATGTATTTCCACTGTCATCATCATCGGCATCTATATCATTTTCTCCTGCAGTGTTCTCTTTGTGATTCCCCATTTGACCATGGCTTCCTTCATTGCCATGATTTTCTTCAGGCAAGACTTGCAGAATGCTGTCTTGGCAGACACCAAAATTATCTTCAGAATCACAATTAGGAGACAACTCACCCTCCTCTTTCTCATTTTTACAAGGATCAACAGGACACTCATTATATCTCAAATGTCTGGACCGTTCTGCAAAATCTCCATTTGCCGATCCATTCTCTCTCATTTTATCCTCATCCTGTCATACATACAGAAATATGATTCACTTTACCAATTAAAAAAAAATTATGATTCACCTAGTTGAAATTAAAATGTCAAACAAAACAATCATTATGAATTACGATACACACAAAGCCATTTTAATCGCCTCCTACACCCGTAATCCTCCAGCAACTCACTCCACCAAGCTTTTTTTCCATAAAACACGAAAGGGAAAATAAGAAGACAACATGTAAAGTGGGGGACGAAAAAAACCCAATTAATAAAAGGAAAGAAATAAGGTAAGTTGGAACACCCCATCCAACCCACTATGGACAAGTGAGAGAAAGAGAGAGAGTATACTATACTCAGAAAAAAAAAAATNGGGGAAAAAAAAAAAAACAACACAATACCATGAGGACTCTATCTAAAAACTGTAATTTAAAAGTCAAGCTTACCTCTGAGGGAACCATATCATCCGTATTTGATTTGGCTTCATTGCCTTCCTCAAAAGCACCATTACCCACTTTTGGAGAACTTGCACAACACCCTTTGATTTCAAAATAGTTTCCATCAATATAAAAATGTGCTTACATAAAGGAAGTACGGGCAGAAGATTAGAATGAAAAGCCACTACGATTTACAGCTATTGTCAGTCACACAGTAAATATAATCAGAATATCATGCATACCGTGGTTAATGTCTGTTCCTGAAGTAACAGCTGAATCTGGGTTGGTTAATCTTTCACCAGAAGCCACTGCTAATCCTTCTTTAGCCAAACCACCCACATTTGTGAAGCCAGTTCTGAAATTCATTCTTTGAGGTGATGCTTTAGAATCACCATTGCAGTTAGACTTAGGTTGCTTCAAATCTGTGTTGGTAAGATTGGTATCTGGACTGCCCTCCCTTTCCATTAAACTAGTGTCATCTTTGGTATTTTGGTGTTTAGAGACACCATCATCTTCATTAGTCTCTAGACCATGAGGATGGGAATGAACACCAAACATCGGCTCAAGAAAAGTAGTCCAAAATCTTAAAACCTTATTACATTGATCTTTTGTTGAGCAGATCTCCTCACACGAGTACTTGATAATCTTGAAGATATCTTCATGAACCTCAGCATTAGCATACTCAAATTCGAGGTCAGTAATGACAGAATGCCGCCTTCCGGCTGCAATGCTAAGAAGTACATCATCTTCTTTCTGCCTTTTATCTTTTAATTCTTTGATTTCTGCCACTAAGGCTGTCCATGGGAAATATGAACGAACATGAGAAACAAAATCCGGGTAGAGAGCAAAGGTGCATAAAAGTCTTGCAACAGTAGAAGAGCATTCGATGATATGCAGCAATTATCAGAAATTGATTTGTCCAAAAACATTACCAATTTCTAGCAAAACACAGCAAGTGTGACCAAGTGAAAAATAAAGTTAACTAGACAGATGCCACTTGCAACAGATAAATGGTAAAAGTCACAGGAAATCACAAGATCAGAGTGCCATAGACAATATTGAAAAATAAGCTTACATTTTGTGCTCAAATTCTTTGAATCTTGTTGCTTGAAATAGAAGCTGCGGTGATCAAGAGACCTGTAATGATTCTTTGAATATATTTCAGCCCAAACCTTGTTAAAATCTGAACGACATTTAGTCCACTCCTCTTGCTTCTGCTTCAGACGCATTAGGACAACAGGCAAAGTACGAGATGGATTTTTGCGCAGAATGTCCATTACATCAAGACCATGGTCACCATATAGTCGTTCAATGCATCTCAAATTAAGAGCTGTATGAATTAAGAGGACAATTCCTTTCAACTATTACAAGCAGTCAATTTTCTGGAGAAGAAAAGGTATAAGAAAAGTGGAAAAGCTCCAATAAAAGTATGACCCAGATTCTAATGCTACAAACCTGTGAAGTAATCCTCAATAAGTATGGGACCATCTGACCCAACTGAATTATTATTGATACTGTTCAAAAGCTCCTCAGCTCGCTTAGCAGTTGAACTCACAGACTCCAGCAACATGTCTAGCTCAAATCTGAACCCAAAGGACACAATTATCAAAAAGCTCAGGCATATGCACACCCGTGAAAACTCTAGGAATTACGCAACCCAAATAATCAACATAGTTACATAACAAAAATCAATTTAAGAATTTATAATTTCAAATACGTCAAAATATGGGAGAGTTGAAGATGAGAGAAAGTTTGAACCAACGCCAAAGTTTGTCCTATTCCACATTAAGAACGGAAGGTTGATAAGAGTCATAAGTGAGGGAATAGCTTTTTTGTGCAAAACTAACAAGATTATGTACCTATCATCTTCACATCTGAACAGGCTTTCTTCATATTGATTTCTCCGCATGTGCTTAAAAGAATAATCCTCACTACCAGATGTCACAGACACCCAATGATCATTTAGAACTTGAGCACCAAGCTCTGACCTCTGGCTAGCTGAGGATATCGGATACTGCAAAGACAATTTAGTAATAATGCATTATTAAATTCATTTGTTTGGAAGTTTTATTTGTTTATTTATTTGATAATTCTGACTAATTTATTCCAATTTATTTATGGAATTTACTGATCAAAATATTTGACAAGTTGAAATATATTTTGGATTTGTTTTCATATATTTTTCTATATTATAAATATGAGAGGCGGTCATTAATTAGAATGACACATGTGACATGTTAGGAAATTTATAATAACTTGAAATTATACAACCTTGATAAAAGATCGTTCACATACAAAAAAATACTTGTTATATTCCTCTTATGTTTAAAAAATAATTTATTTATCCTTCTATTTAAAAAGTTCTTTTGTGCTTTTCTTATGTTTATTTGTTCTAATGTACAATGTTATTTTTTTTTTTTAATATTTACATATTACTATTGATGTATTACATTGGAAGCACAAACACTGTACCAAATGCAAACTTAATTTCTTTAAATAAATTTATAACTCGTGCAGACATGCAGCAGTTAAGTAAATAATGCCTCCTAACACGCCTCTCATAATATCTCTCTCTCTCTCTCTTACATCTTTCGGAAGAAGCCGGTAGCTGGGAGTGCACTGTTGACAATTCGATAGGTCAAGCTCCTGAATGGACTTTCCCCAGTACTTCAAGTTGCACCTATCCCTCTCTTTCCCGCCTTCCAAGTCACGCTTTTGTTCTCTCTCCTTTTCATCTATTCTTGAGGCTTTTGAAGAATTCCCCTCATTCCATAACGTTTCTGCCAATAATAAACACAGATTTGTCATCAGGGATCAGATATATGGTGTTACTAATAATACTGGGAGAAGACTGGAGCAGGTCACAGACAATAGTACTTCACATGAGTAAACAAAATTCAGATTTTTCCTATACTAAGCAAACAATGATATGCAGCAAATTTACGTACTTTTTCCCATAACACCAGCTAGAAATCCATCTGAAAAATAGGCATAAGTTAATAAGTCAGGAACGTTAATAAAAGAATACAACAATTCACTAAGTAAATCAATGAATAATACCAATTCGCTCACAGCGCTCCAGAAACTCGTTGAAACCCTCCATAAGATCTGGATATTTTCCAAGTAAATCAGTAACCTAAAAGCACATAACAAAAGAGACACATGAAAGGTATAAGTTACCACCGAATTTCATTCATAGTTTTAATAGAAATTAACCCATAAGAATGCAAAAGTATAGAATCCATCAATATTCTCGACCAACATGGCGATAAACATGATGCTAATCGCTAGGGCAGCAGTATGAAATAGTGAAGCCAGACGCTTGTATTCCATACATTGGTAGTTGGTTAGCACAAAAATCAAACTGTGATGTTAAACATTGCTACTTGAAGGTTCATATTCATACCAAACTCTGCAATTCCTTTCTAGTAATGATTTCTGTACAGTATATGTGAAGGCATTTTAGGAATGCCTGGTAATCATCTGCACTTTGCAATCTCTCTTTGACTTTTTGACAGAAAGAGAACTCATAGTTGTATGTACCTGCAAGATCGAACAGAATTAATACCAGAAGGCACCAAAATGAAAATAAGAGATGCAATAAACATATACACATAGATGCAAATAGATCCATATGTGAAAAGTGAGAGCAACCTTGCTCTCTATACACCTTATATTGCTAGTACTTCATCATGTTCTTGATTTAGTGATTCTTTATGCCATGCCCACGTGGAGATTAAGGAATTTGATTTTCCCTCAATCTAAATATCTCATATTATACGAGTTCCCATTTCCCCCAATGAATGGAACTATGCCAGGTACCCAATTCTTATTTATCAGAGGGGAAATAGAAAAGAAATATCTTGTATGGGACAAAATGGCAACTCCCAAACCAAAGTAGACAAGATGGTTCTCCTTACACTACTGTTAAAAATCAAGGGACTGTTAACTCACTTTTTAATGCATCTTTATCATCAAAAGAGTTCACATGGACCCCACATAAGTCTTCAACTTTCCGAGTAGACTTCTTTTTGTCAGAAAGCCGATGCATGCTAAAATTACCACTTTTCTCCAGATCAGGATCTCTGTCATCCTGATCACAGTTCCTCTTATCCCTGTTTTCTCTTTCAGTAAGCTTCTTTTGCTCCTTCGGCAGCTTCACCACTGTTTTATCATCATCATTATCGGGACAATCGGCACTAAGATCACGTTCTCTTTTGGGATGCATAGTCCTGTCCCCCAGTGGAAGTATTGTGGGCAGGGCCGAGCTTTTCTCATCATTACGCAGAAAGGAATGACGACCAAGTGAAGCATGCGGAGCTGAAGCAGTAGCTGAAGTGTCAGGCAAAAATCTAGTAAATTCATCAAGAAGATCGGGATGGTCATCAAAAAGGGCTGCAACCTGAAAAAGCATACGTTAAAACCTCATCATATATTAGAGTTGAGGCATTGTTTCCAGAAGAGATGCATACCTCGCGGTAGACCTCAGCTATACCCTTGTGTTCCTTGCGATACATATTCAAGATGTCCAGGAATGATTTATAAACGTGATCATCATTTTGAAATCGTCTCTGCATGCAAACAGAATAAAGGATAAATTGTTATTACAGAAGTCCTCCGGATCCAAATTCAACCCCTTTCATTACCACACATGTTAACAAAATACCTACCTTAATCTTATTGACGAAACTGATAGCTTCTTCGAACTCAACAGTCTTTTTCGGCAGAGCCTCTTCCTCATCGGTGAGGGTAATTTCAAAACCCTTGGGCAAGAATGTATTAAACCCAAGGATTAGATTAGGATGACCTTTAAACAATTCTTTCACCCTTGCTATGACACCAGCGGTATCAATTCTGCCAGAAATAATAAAGAATTTGAGAAAATTATTTCATTAATTTTAAGATTTAACTGTAAACAGTGATCGCATCAACAAATATTCATTTACCTTTGAGCCTTAAAATCTTTCATTACATCAAGGAACCTATCATACTTTCCCCTTTGATCTTGGAACTTGTCCTTAACATGCTTCAAATAACTCAATGCATCATTGGTGGTAAGCTTTTGTGTACTGCTAGCAACAATACCTGCATCATTACCATTAACTTCGGTACCACCATTCACTCTACCAACTCCACCTCCATCACCTCCATCGCCACTAGGAGATTGTGATGGCACGTACCTTTATTAAAATGAGAGAACAAACAATGACATTTAGCTAGTAAACCATCATTAAACAATTCAATGCAACAGCTGTTCTTGGTTATCTCATTCATGGCCTTGTAAAAATCATCTTTTGAATGCACAGATTAATATCACAAAAATTTCCAGAAAATTTGTTACCATAGGCTACTAATGTGACACTACCATCTACAAGCTACAACAAAGAGCCTCCTCTAGAGCCGATTAAATTATTAGCTTAGTTGGTCTAGTTGTCACCTAANTGTTACGCCACAATTGGGAACCCAGCAAATTCTGATCAACAAGATTTTCTTCAAATCCAGTTTAAATAACTTACAATTAAAAAAAAAAGCAAAAGATAAAACAAAAAAAACTCTGCGTACGCATGAGATTCTAGGCTCAGGTTTCAATCAACTCACATGCACAAACACAAATATCTTACATCCAACACATCCACAGCTAAAAATCCCCAGTAAATTACTCAACATAAAACAATTCCCTACGAACATAAGCTGAAAAAAAGCGCTTACGATTCCCCACGAGAACCGCCAAACGGCCGCTTAAATTGAGGATTCATATACATCTCATCCCGTATTCGCTTCATCTCTCTGCACAACACCAACTCTAAAGTTAACATCAAGGATAAAACAGTGAAGTAAAATCAACAGACAAAAAAATTATATACAAAGAGTCGAGAAAAAGATCAAAAGAAGCTAACTGAAAATCAGATCTATTTCAAATATCCAATCCTGACCCGACCACGACAGTAAAAATCGTTTCGATCAAACTGCAACTTGAAAATTTTATATATTATCTCCTTGATCCCTTTTCACTATTTCGCTTCACTCTTTTGCAGCAACAGGAATTTGAGTTGAGAAAACTTTAGAGAGATTTTCGTGAAGTTTTTTGCGAAACGGGAAATCCCACTCCTATTACGCACGCAACTCTCCATCTTTTATACTCTGCAAAAATTTCGAAAAATGATGCTCTTTTGGGCTTAACTGGTGTGTCTTTTGGGCCTGTGGCTTTTTAGACGCTTTTAACAATTTATTGGGCCTCAAAAATTCCATTTGAATTAGACAAAAGTTTTTTAGAATTTTAGATTAAGCTCTTCTGTATCAACCCATTCTGAGATCACGCCATTCACAATATTTAAGAAAACAAATTAGAATTGAGAAAATTACTTGTTACACCACATAATAACATTTTTATTATAGGCCATTAGAATATTACACCATTTACCTACAAATCTCATTTTGATTAGAATATTTAAGAAAACAAAATTATCTGCAAATATACTTACTTTTACAGTTTTATAAATGGTTATTTGTAATTTATTTTCATTATTGATCTTCAAATTGTATTATTATCTTTTTTACAACTAGCTTATGTATAGTTTTGTTTTTATTTCGTATTTTTACCATAACCATATAAAACGGCCGAAAAACAAAGGTGGTCATTTTTTGCCTTTCTTTTTTAGAACTAAGCCTCAAACATAACCATCAAGATCCACAACAAATGGCCTAATCAGAGAGTACCATACAATGCAACTATACATCATCCCAGCTACTAACTAACTATTAAACTAAACAAGTCGCGCTCATCTCGGCTCGACTCGTTTATCTCTCTAACTCTCGCTTTATAAACGAGTCAAGTTCGAGCTCGCTTAAAGCTCGTTTCATTAATGAGCCGGTGGTCTCGGCACAGCTCCGCTCGAGATTCGAAAAAAGAGAATTTCTATATAATTTTCTATAGTTCAGCTCGCTAAAACTCGAACTCGGCTCGTTAGTATAAATAAACATGTCGAGCTCGAATTTAATTTTTGGCTCGTTTACTTAACGGCTCGGCTCGCTAGGCGTCCTCTGTAGACTAACTAGTGAATAGTAAACCCCGCCGGGCCCCCTCCCGAGCAACGACGTGTGGGTCCCACGCTCGACCACCCTTCCCCCGTCAAGAACCGCGATCGTGTCGCAGTTCTTGATCGTGCTCAGTCGATGCGCCACCACCATGCTTGTCCGCCCGACCATCACCCGCTCGAGCGCCTCTTGCACGGCCTTCTCAGACTCCGTGTCGAGCGCGCTCGTGGCCTCATCCAACAACAAGATGCTCGGGTTTTTAAGTATGGCTCGGGCGATCGCGATCCTCTGCTTCTGCCCGCCTGACATCTGTACTCCTCTGTCCCCGCACCACGTCTCGTACCCGTCCTTAAGCCCAGAAATGAAGTCGTGTGCGTTTGCCAACTTAGCCGCCGCCACCACCTCGGCCTCCGTGACATCCTCGGACGACCCGTACGCGATGTTCTCCCGAACGGTCCCCGCGAATAGTGTCGGCTCTTGGCTAACCAATGCAATGTGCTTCCGTAGCGATCTCAAATGATATGTCCGGATATCTCGACCGTCGATTTTCACGACTCCGGCTATTGGGTCATAGAATCTCTCGATAAGGCCAATGACGGTCGATTTCCCCGACCCGCTCGGCCCCACGAGCGCGGTCGACTTTCCCGCCTCAATTTCGAGCGAGAAGCCTTGGAGGATCATTGTTTTGGGACGGGCCGGGTACGCAAAATCGACCCCCCGGAAGTCCACGCGGCCCCCAACCTTCCCGTCGGGCCGGTGACCGTCTGGGTCCTCTGGCTCAATCAACGAGTAGCGGTCGAGGATCGCAAAAACCGACCGCACGGCATCGGCCCCTTTCGCCAAGTCATTCGTCATGGTCCCTGCATCGGCTATGACCCGGCCCGTGCTTACGAGGATCATGAATGTTTGAAACAGAGCTTTCGCCCCAATGAATCCCCCGGCAATGAGCCGCCCGCCGTACCAAAAATCGAGGGCCCACGTGCACGTCATCAAGCTCTGGGAGGTCCCGAGCCCGACACCAGCGAACCACGACTGGCGAGCGCTTTCCTTCCTTGGCCCTTCTTGGGCCAGCTCGAGCATCCGGAGGATACGGGCTTGCGAGGAGAAGGCCGTCACGGTCCGGAGGTTCGACACGGCCTCGGCCGCGAGCTTGCTGCTCTCATTTTGGGCCTTGATCGCCTTACTCGACATGTTCTTGAGGAGCACGCGTTTGAAGTAGTAGCAAATTATGATCAACGGCTGGACCGCAATCATCACGAGCGCAAGCTTCCACGCGACGGCAAGGCCCATCGTGCACGCTATTATTACGGCCGAGCACGTCTGAATCAGCAGCGCCATCCGGTCACCCACCAGAGACCTCACCTGTGTTTCAAATTCATAAATTTTCATTTCTTTTCCAATACATGATTTTAAAGAATGTTCGATTAGGCAAAAAAAAAAAAATCGTACCACATTAGCATCTTTCGCGAGCCTCGAGCACACGGCCCCCGTGGAATTCTCGTCCCGGTCGAACCACCCGACCTCGAACGTAAGAATCTTGGACAACATCCTCTCTCTTATCCTCTTGGTCAGGTTCTCCCCCATTGATGCGAAACTGTAGTGCTGGCACACGTTAATCAACAGCGAGAAAACGGCCAAACCAAGAAAACACCACGCGTATATCCTTATCTTCTTCATGATCGCCTCGTGATCTTGTATGAAATACACCGATATCATCGACCCCATCGCGAACGCGTACACCGGCTGAATAGCACCGAAGAGTACAGCCGACACGCAGCCCAACGCAGCTTGCCGCCACTCGGGCATGTTCATGGCGAGCAGCCTCCTAAACGAGGGGGTCCCAAAAACCTCGTCTCGGGCCACATTTATCATTGTTTGGCCCGTCTCGACGAGCCCGCGGGAGTTTGCCGAGCTCGACCGACTGAAAACCGAGAGCCTCCGACTGCTAGTGCTGCGTACATCGTCTAACACGTTAGACGGTCGATGCTCATCCGGGGTGGTGTCGGTTTTCTCGGACAGGTGGACGAGGGACGAGTAGAGGCCATTTTCGTCGGTGATGAGCTCGTCATGGGCCCCGCTTTCGACGACCCGTCCGTCTCGAACTACAGTGATGATGTCAGCGTTTCGGATGGTGGAGAGGCGGTGGGCTATGACGAGAGTGGTCCGGCCGACGGCGGCCTTGTCGAGGGCTTCTTGCACGGCGTGCTCTGACTCGGAGTCGAGTGCGCTCGTGGCCTCGTCAAGGAGGAGGATTTTCGGGGATTTTATTATGGCTCGTGCGATTGCGATCCTCTGCTTCTGACCTCCGGACATTTGGACACCTCGCTCGCCGACCTGAAGCAAAAATCGTAAAATCGTCAACGATTAGTCAAAAATAAAAATCGAGCAATGTTTTAGTAAGAAATGTACATTGAGTACAATATGTGGATTCTAACTAAAGGTGGAGCTTCACATTTCATATAAGGTTTACTTAATCAAAGAAAGAGGTGTAATGTAACTTGTAATAACTTGTAAGAGATTATGTGTCTTTTCAAAACAGATTCAGCTAAGAAGAGAATACTTATTGATGAATACCTAAAGCTAAATGGAATTTATGTAATAATTCGCTCGTCCGCGTGAGTGACTCGTGTCGACACAACTAATATTATCGTCGTTTTACTATTTACCGGAACAAGTGTAACGACACATTAAAAGCGATATGAAAACCGAACCGAGTAAGTAAAGGCACATAGAATCTGCTTCTAAAGGACACAGTATAGGCCTAACAGGATTCCTTCAAACAGTCATTTATATGAGAAAAAGAAAAGCAACGCTGTAGCTAAAAGTGATGAGAAAAGAAAGCTAAAAAGCCACCATGATTGTTTTGCAGTTGTTGCAGCACTTTTTTACAAACACAAAACAAATGAATAATAATAAAAAACACAAAGCCACGAGAATTTTTTTTTACCTGAGTCTCATAACCTTGAGGCAACTGAGAGATGAAATTGTGAGCATTAGCAGCTTTAGCAGCCTCCACAACTTCCTCGAACGAGCCATCCTCTTTCCCGAAAAGTATATTTTCCTTAATCGAGGTCGCGAAAAGTGCCGGTTCTTGACTAACCAATCCCATTTGCGACCTTAGCCACTTCACCTGCAACTCACCGATCGCCACTCCATCTAACAAAATCTCGCCTCCGAGCGGGTCGTAAAATCTCTGCAAGAGAGCAATCACAGTCGATTTTCCGGACCCACTCCCACCGACGAGCGCCACCGTTTTTCCCGCCAAGACTTTTAAATTAAAATCCTCGAAAATCAAGCTCTCGGGCCTCGACGGGTATGCAAACTCGACGTGCTTGAACTCGACTTCGCCTTTCACGTCTTCTAGTATTTGGCCTTCCACGCTATCCGAGTCGATCTTGGGCACTCGCTCGATCACCTCTTTTATACGCTCGGCAGCTAAACTTGCTTCCGAGAAGTACTTGAGGTTCGACAAACCCGAACCCAACGCTCTGCATATATCGAAAAAAATTGAGTTAAAATCGACTTAACTCGACTCAAAACGAAGATAAATTTAAAAACCGAGAAAACAGAGTGTACGTCGAGTAACACTCGACTCAAAATGAAGATAAATTTGAAAACCGAAAAAAAAGTGTACACCGAGTAAAAATCGACTGAACTCGACTCAAAACGAAGATAAATTTAGAAACCGAAAAACATAGTGTAAGATTTATAAAATCGAGGCAAGTGAGTGCAGCCCTACGCAACTGAAGCACACCATAATAGGGTGGGCCTAGGTGCACCATAGTGAGAGGCTCCATTCCAAAACCAATTGGTGATTGGAGAAGTAGCCCACTAAACATATAAGTTTACCCATTTTCCTATAAAATCAATGTGGGACACAAGTACTATTTAATATTGTAATGCAGAGGAAAAGGAAAAAAAGGCTTACAATCCACCGGTAGCGATTGCAGCCCCAACCGCGAAAACCGTGCCTCCTTGAGCCCCGTGATACATAACCAACCTACTGCCGTAATACGACAAAAAGGACCAAATTGCAAATACGACGGCATTACTCCCGATGGCCAAGCCCTTGGCTAAACCTTGCCTCGAACCTAACTTCACGGTCCCTTGAAGAGCATCCGAATAAGCAGCAATTGTCTTGCTTTCGCCCACGAACGAGTAAACCGTACGCACGGAAAAAAGCGCCTGCTCGACTATCACGCCGGCTTTACCATATTCGTTCTTCATTTTCCGCATTATGCTCATAAGGGCCCGCCCGTACATCAGGCCCGGGATTACCAAGACTATTATAAATGGGAACCCGGCTAGCGCTAGTCTCCACAGCATAATGAATGCCACCACGTATGACCCGAAGAAAGTCGAGAGGTTCATTATGAAGACAGGGACCTGATGATAGAGAATTTTGATTATTAAGAATGTAAGAACAAAAATAAAAAAATAAAAAAAAGGGAAAAATTTTACCGAACCTTTTCGCTAATGGCGTCTTGAATTACGAGGCTATCGCTCGATACACTCTCGATAACTTCAGCCGTGCTAGTCACGTGCAGGTCGAAATAACCGATATCTTGCCTCATAACGGCTTTTAAGTATCTCGATCTTAATCGGGATGCTTGTTTTTCGGCTGTTCTTGTCCAACAATATCCCTCTATAAAGGTACATAAATTTTGGAAAAATCAGTAATGTTACTAACTTACTATATCGAATTTTTCGGAAAAATTTTGCTGCCTAAAATGAAAGATCATCAGAAGAACAAACCGAAAATCGATTACCTACCGAGAAAGCAAGCGACCCATTGCACACAAGCCATGTAGCAAAGAACTAACGCGTTCTGCAAAAAATTAAGGGTAAGAATTTACAAAAAACGTAAGCACAAAATGAGCTGAAAATATAGAATTTGATGAATTTATTTGCAAAGAACTAACGAGTTCTGCAAAAATTAAAGGTAAAATACAAACATAAACACAAAATGAGCTGAAAATATAGATTTTGATGAATTTATTTCCATGAACTAACTCATCTCTCATAGAAATTCATCAACATGAGAGAGTTACATGAATGAAGAAAAAAAACAAGAAGAAGAAGAAGGGGAAAAAAAAAAAAATGCAAGGCCTACAGAGAAATTTATTCTTTCTATTTTTAGTAATATCAATTTATCATCCAAAAAGGATAGCGTCCCAACTGACAAAAGACGAGACATCTATAGGAAAAAATTATATATTATTGTTATTATTGTTTATTATACAAAGAAAGAAAGGAAGCTTCAAATGGTTATCTGAAAAAGTCGTAGCCTAACACACACAGCCACAATTAATAAATTAATCAAATTCAATCCTCTGCTTTTCCCCAGATTTACCCGAATTAAAGCTCCAAGTCAAAAGATACACATAGTCGCAAACAAATGTACAAACAGATTCACATAGCAATACAAAAACTACAAAAAAATTATCGCGAATTCGAACCTCGTTTATGCTGCGGCTGAAGCTATCGGCTGGCGAAATCTGGGAATTTCCGAAGCTGTTCATTAGCTTGCTCGTGACCAAAAGCATAGCTGGCATCGAGATCCCATCCCCAAACGAGCCCACGAGCCCGAGCCCCATCAGCGCCATGTCAGAGCAATCGGCATGCATGAAAATCGAGCCGAACGATATAGTTCGGCTGCTCGTTTTCGGCTTCTTCTTCTTCATCTGCTCCATAACAGAGTTTGTGACCATATGGAAGTTT